CCTTTCGTTCTATACTTAGAACAAGTACGAGTTAGCAGATCACAATCCGCTTACTCCAAGAGTAATTATTGCCTTTACGCAAGGCTAATTACTCTTCTGTTTGAAATTCAAAACTGATTTTTATTTATTTTTACTTATTTTTATCTGCGGCAAAGCCGCCTAATTTTAAATGTTAAGATTTTCCTAAATATATATAGTAAAACATTCATAACCACTGGCTACCTAGCCCCATACCGTATTATCACCCCATGCCGATCTCGTGTGACACACACCCCTGTTACCAGGGTACGTGTAACCCCGTCACACATACCGTCGCTCGAAGCTAGCAATGTAAGTTTTCGCTACCAAGCATTCCATCCATATGACCAGAACTACCGCAATATTCCTCTCTTGTGCTTTTGTCTTCACCTGCTTACTGATTTGTTCAAAAATTTGCTGCTTACCCTCGAGACTTGCTGCCCTCGAAACAGTATGAATAGACATACGATTTTAGAATGATGATAGTTTGCCTCAAAATTCAGTTTTGATTGGCCAATATAAGTCATCAATCTTCGCATCAATATCAATCCTGAAAGTCGAAATGCGATTTTTCTATCGCCTAGGAGCGCTCAGCAGTGGATACCCCGTAGTCACAGTGCTGCTAGCAGTGGTTTGTAGTGCCATATTGTGTCTTGGAGCTCTGAAAATCAAGCTGAAGACTAATCCACAGGGACTTTGGGTCCCTCCTAACAGCGTTGCCATCAAGGAACAAAAGCTTTTCAATCAGCTTTTCGGACCATTTTTTCGCATCCAGCAGCTTTTATTCTTTGTTGAAAGTGATACAGATCCAAACTCCAACTCAAAATTGAGTGAATCTTTGACGTGTGATGCTAATCATGATTTAGTCCAACGAGAATTCTTACTCCAGATGGCTAAAGTGCAGACCGAAATCACAAATGCTGTCATTTATAGCCAAGACGAATCAAACGTGACACTCTCTCTACAAGACTTTTGCTACCGACCAATTAAGGGAAAAGGGTGTTTAGTTACAAGTCCGTTTCAGTACTGGCTGACAAATGCTACTTTACTACAAAATGATCCAGATATTAAGCTCACGACTGCGTGTCAGACTACAGATCCCGAACTTCAAAATCGATCGCCTTGTATGGATCAAAACGGAGTGCCAGTGATGAGGAATGTAGTCTTTGGGGGTCTGTCAAGAGATAATTGTCACGAAAATCCAGACCCGTGTGGAGAAGCTACACCTCAAGCTAAGGCCTTAATAGTCACATTCTTATTAAATAACAATCCAGAAAATGAGACATATACGCAATATGCTGAACGCTGGGAGAAGGAGGTATTCCTAAAGATTGCTGAACAAGCTGCTGAATCATTACATCCTTCGATAGCGAGTTGGAATGATGAATTTATCTGGGATAGTGTAGTGGATCAAGAGTTGGCGAAGGTTGGTGTTGACGGTATGAGACTCACGTATATGGCTGAACGGTCCATTGCAGATTCATTGAAAGTGCAGACACAACAAAATGCGTTTATTGTGGCGGTCAGCTACATCGTCATGTTTTTGTACGTGTCGGCATCGCTAGGAATATTCCTAGACCCGGTGCGATCACGATTTGGACTTGGATTGACAGGCATTTTGATCGTGATACTATCATTGATTGCTGCTATGGGTACAAGCTGTGTATTTTTAAATATGGAAGTAACAATGATCACGTTGGAGGTTGTGCCATTTTTGATCCTCGCCATTGGTGTGGACAATATTTTTATTCTGACCAACGAATTTGACCGATTGGCAAGTTTGCATGGACTTTTTACGATTGATACCAAGCGCGACACACACAATCGAATCGAAAATGAGCGGATAATGCTCAAGCAAATGATGGGAGAAACTATGCTGAACGTTGGGCCATCAATTGTTGTAGCGGCTGTTGCCGAAAGTTTAGCTTTTTTAATGGGAGCATTCACTCGTATTCCAGCTCTCGTGAGTTTCTGCACTGTCGCTGCATTAGCCGTTGTCGTTAATCTTTTCCTTCAGCTAACTTGGTTTGCCTCAGCACTTGTGCTGGATGCACGTCGTGTGCGTGCTCGGCGGTATGATTTGTTTCCGTGGGTGAAACAGAAAGTCATACTCAAACCACCAATAAGTCATAAGCGAAGAGCTAGTGTAAGAAACGACGTTCAGTACGATTTGCTCCACGAGAAGGTTGGTGGAGAAACAGCGTCGGAAAACGTTCGGACCATTGGTGTGATTCAACGATTTGTTGAAAAGAACTATATTCCCTTTATACTGCGTCGATCTACGAAAATCTTAGTACTTATTACAGCATTGACAAGCCTGACGCTTAGTGCTATCGGGTCGTTTGAGTTGCCTCTAGGACTTGAGCAAGAACTTGCTGTGCCGGTGGACTTTTACCTACACGAGTACTTCAAGCAACAGACAGCACTTGGTGAGGCTGGCCCTCCAGCTTATGTTGTTCTAGACGGCGATGTTGACTATACGGATGCGCAAGTGCATCAAGAGATTAATGCTCTTTTGGACAAGCTGTCGGAACTTCAGCAGTACGTCGAACTGCCAATTTATTCGTGGATACACACGTTTAATCAGTGGCGCCAAATGCGCTTCTTTCTTCACGACAAAATAATTCAAGGTCTGTGTGACTGCCCGGTTCAGCCATTGGATCCATTTGCGTACGAATTGGTTATCAATGAGTCTATTGAATTGAGCGCTACATCGAATTATTCCATTTACGAAGATGGATTTCTATCAGCCGCAAATGTGACTCCTAACGCGCTGTTCTACCCATTGGTGAAAATTTTTACAAATATAGCTATCGATTCGACATGTTGCCAGCATTTCGGACTCTGTGGTGCTCAGTATGAAGATGATATCATCTTCGGCGATTCGAAACTCTATGAGAATTCCGAAATGGGTAACATTTCAATTCTTGGTTCTCGAATGCGCTTTCAATTAAAAGCTCTTCGCAATCAGTCGATTTATATAAATTCGTACTACTACCTGCACGATGTGACAAGTCAATGGAGCGCTAATAAAGCTGCAACTGCGTTTCCATATGCTCTAGTCTTCGTCTTCGAGGAGCAATACACTTATATCCAAGGAGTGGCACTGCAAAGTGTACTGCTAGCTTTAGCTGTTGTCTCGGGTACAGTTTTTGTTCTCATGGATGGATCTTTGCGATTGACTATAATCGTTTCTTTATGTGTGCTCTCGATGGCATTTTCGCAATTGGGCCTCTTGTTCGTTTGGAATTTAATCGCTGGACGAGATGCTATGACCTCGATAAATGCTGTATCTGTAGTAAATCTAATCGCTTGCTTTGGACTTGGTGTGGAATTCTGTGTCCATATGGCCCATCAGTTTTCCAGTTCAAAGAAACATCGACTAGGAACGACCGGAAATGACCATACTCGTAATGCTTTAACGAGTGTGGGTGCTTCCGTCTTCTCCGGTATCACGCTTACCAAACTTTGTGGCATTGGCGTGCTCGCGTTTGCACCGTCCATGCTGTTTCGTGTGTACTTCTTCCGAATGTACTTGGGCATTGTAGTGTCTGGCTGTTTTCATGGTCTTGTGTTACTACCTGTGCTTCTTAGTCTGGTTGGTCAACCGCAAACTTATCCGAATGATCTCAGCTCTTTTCTGCTATCCGAAGAGCGCGATGACGAGTTTGAGGACGAATTGAAAGCATTTTAAATCATAGTGAAAATAAAGGGAGACACTATTTTTTACTCATATCCCAAAAAAATTTCAGCGGAGAATGCATAGAAAGTAAATGTGTATATCTCATTTTTCGCACTGCACGAACACTATCTAGACGTCAAAGTCAAATTGAATTGCTGTGCAATCGATCAATAAAACGGAATGTGCTATTTTTCGGTCAAATTGAGGGCTATCTGGCACGTGTCACCATAAAAAGCGATAATGGATTGCAGTGCTCCTGCATCCGCTATTCCGTTTAATCGTGAAAAGACGGATCGGTCTTTATACCTCAGAGCCCCGTTCTTCTACCCGCAAATTACAGTCACCAATTCATGGTTGTAGTTTTCACGGATTAAAACAAGCAAACATCAAAAACGAATGCTTTCTTGGCGTTCTGATTTGAAATGGTCCAAATCCAGGTAAGCGTGCCTAAAGACAAATATTGCTAAAGAAATTTGATGATCCCCGTAGTGCACAAGTACAAGTCTGGGGTGAGGAGTAAGAACCTTCACGTTGGCAATCAACACTGACAACCAGACTCCTGCATAGATCGTTGACAATTATCGGGAGACTGGTGAGCACGAATTTTGTAAATTACTTCATCACCACAAATCACCGCTTCGCAAATATATTGACAAAGTTTTTCAAATGCTATGCTTAACATTTGAGTCGCCACGATCAAGCTAGCATAGCATTACAAGCAATTTAAAGCGTTGGGGTAATTTTTCTTTCTCATGCTTAGTGATGTCACAAAAAGCACGATGTTGCTTACCGTTTGAAGCAGTTACTGCATGCCAAGATTGGCATGGTCGAACAATGTCTGAGGCATGTAGGGTTAGACCCTTTCAGTGCGCGTGGAGTAGCACGTTATCCACTGGACGAAGACTGCGGAAATAGCAGCTCTTTGTCGGATGTTGGTTATAATAGGGTGCTTGATTTGATCGGATTGATAGTCGTCAATTATCAATGTGATTCTGGTGGAATGAGAGCCTGAAATATAGTAAATCACCAATTTTTCTGCTTGCGTCATGAAATTTTAACTTTATGTGCTCGTCACGTGGCAAAGATTGGAATTGCTGTGTGAATTTTAATCATACCATATTGCCAGATGAGTCTCAAGTAATTCTTTGAATCACATTATCTCAATTTTGACGCGTGAGAGATTTCTTGGCTACCATTCCTGACACAGAAAAATGTAAATAACTGAAGTCTTGTGCCGATATTATACTATAAGTATATTACGCAAGAACTTCTGAACTGTGATCACAAAGTTCCAGTTCGCAAAATTTGACTAATATATCTAGATTTGAGTCAGTTTAAGCTGATACTTTCCAAATCTGTTTTACTATCTGTAACACTTTAGCCTTCTGTATGACTGATAGCCTATACGTCTGATGGACCTATCCTTTACGGAGTACCCTGACCTTCATCTATACCAGTACGTCAGTAAATTTGAGCTTCGCTCTTGGCCAGAGGGACAGTAGTATAGTTATATAACACAGTACATCTCTCACTGCATTCTCCCCCGCATATATATTTCCCACTTTCTGTATTTACGCAAAAATAAATGCCTTTCCAGCACCCATCACACCCAGAAATATTCTCTTCCACTTGCCTCACAACTTCCACCAGCAATTTTGCGCCAGGGGCTTTTCTTCCTGTGTATCCGCAACGACAGGCGCGGCTCCATGACCGACGACCTGCGAGAAAGCAGCCGAGGTACCCTCCAAAAATGTGAGTGATGTTCCGAGCTACGACCCGGCATCACCACAAGATATTCGGCAAAGTCAGTCCTTGTCTGTGAGAATCTCTCCACAGTTAAGGCGTTCCCTACACTCCGCCTCACCACTGCACATTTTGTAAGCTCTGTATCTGTTCCAGCGGCGAAGGGCCCTATCGACGTTCAGATCAAAACAAGTGGGCAAGATCTGGCTCAGCGAGCCGATCTTGCCCTCTGCAAATGCACTATTACCGTGACTTTTGCCGACTAAACCACGTCGTGATTATGCTTCTGATTATCGGTAGGAGCTCGAACCATCGTGTTGGAGTTTTGCGTAACGATCTTCTTAGAGGAAAATGAAATCTTAAGAGTCGCTCTGAAAGCGCATGCTGACCTATTTGTTCACTATTCTTCAACCTGACAGCAGCAATAATCTTAGTCTCCTAGAAATTGACCTCTGGTACTGAACACTGACGTGTAAGCAGATCAATCCTCCTTGACTCGCGCACGGGGTCAAGAAGGTACATTGCTTCGCTCGTCTAACGGCTTACAAGCTAAAAAGATGTCTGACTAAAATTTCGAATGGTGTTTGGGTACGTAAAGAACAAGAAAATCGTAAACATTGAGGTGGACGCTGACCACCACCTTCGACGGCTCTGCTGATCTTCACAAGCTCGAGCTTGGAACAAGACGAGCAAGTGGAACCTCTAACTCGAACCAGTTCTGAGAATAAGTATATCTGTGACGGGATACATACAGAACGATAGTACGTACATGCTACACGTCCGAACCTGGTACAAAGAGAATATTGTACAAATATGTGAAAGTCACATCTCACTTTTGTTGAATTGTGAATATTCATAAATGACAAAGCATCGGTATTTATGGTGCTGATGGGCGGACTGTTAGCCTCACGTCGAGAAAGATAGAAGTTGTACTGTTGATTTAGTAATGCTTGTGTGTTTTGTAGGAGCCAAAAGAGAACTTATCCTAAATTTATATCCATCTTAACATTTTCGAGCGGCTCAGCCAGCACCTGGACTGAGCGCTCAAACCTAGCCTCGATTCACTAACGAAGACTTATTGAGTCGACACTTCTACGGTTCGCGGTGCGCGACAACTCCATTCGACTCGGACGCATCTGAAGTGAATTCCTCAAACGAGTCGCGAAAAATTTATTTTATGCGAATGTTCTGTCTCTGTTGTGGCACTACACGGTCATGGACAATGAGCTGTTCTTCAAGATAAACTATGATTGCTTGGTAAGCGTATATCGCTGGTTCGACGGTGTCAGGCTAAGGATTAGATGCGGTAATCACTCGCCTTAAGAGTTGACCAGTTATGAGTGCCACAATTGAGCTCTTGTGAGAGCACAGGTGGCATCCACCGAGCAAACTACTGATCTTAGCCGTGTCGTTATTTGAAGCCAGTGGCAAAACTATCTGGGGAATGTGCAGACCATTAATTTGGCTGTGTTTTGGCTCGAGTACCAGCACGGTGCTGCCGTGGTTTTCAGTCTCAAAACCCGCGTGCGAAAATGGTTACTTGACGTGCAGTATTTCTGTGAAGAAAACAGGGAGATTTAAAGTGGCTTGTTTTTATCGCGTAACCGCGCATATTCGGTTTAAGCCTGCTCCAGGTAGCAACATTTAGTGTTAAGGAATCGAGAGCACTTGAGGCGGTAACAATAATAACAGCAATAACGGAACTCCGAAAATGCGGTTAACACCAAAGCCGCTTACGTTCACTCAGCATCATTTGATGCAGCGATGGGTGTTGCATTGAATGCGGAGTACATCTTTCGTTTAGCGCAGGTTTTCGTAAGTGAGAGTTTATGAATGCACCAGAGGCAATAATTTTACAATTATGCTAAGAGAATAAAGAGATGTATTGGCTGCCAAGCAGCTCCGTATTAAATTTAGTTTTTTGTCATATCACGTAACATCTGCGACTTGTACGATCCCTTCGCTTGCATTTCTAAGACAACAAGGGTCGGGCTCCCAGCCTAGGCCGTCCAACAAGAACATCATGAGGAAGGATGGGGTCTTAATAGCGCAGAGCGCTCGACTGGGAAATATGAGGGATCTTATGTATGTCGTTGTGGTCGTGGTCATTTGATCGTAGTTCGAAAAGGATCAACGATTTATGCGAGAAGACGGAGCTCATTCCCTAACTTATTGGTTGTTGAGATCAAACTCTTGGGCGTTGTATCGCCGCGAAAAGTCCTACTACATTTAGCTGCGCCGTGTAATTTTGTATGACTTTCTACTGTCGAAAAAATATACAGTACGTGGAGGCATTAAAGTGCCAAAAATGAATGCAGAATCCGCACAACTTGCGACAAGAGCACTAATGAAAGTGTCGATGTTCTCGTTAACGTTCAAGTAAGTTTGGAGAGCCTTAACAGCGCGGAACGTTCTCTCGCCCTGAATCCTTGACTCGATATTTAATCGCTTGAACGCTTTAAGACTAAAAATCGCTACGTTACGTTAAAAAAATACATATTACTTGTGTTGTGGGGCATAAATTAAACATATTCCCACCTTCTCCAGGGAGTTGAATAAACTTTGGTAACGGAAACAAATCTATAATCGTCTTTGTGCAGGACTTGACATTGTCAGCCTTTCTAGCAACGATCTTACTTGTACCAAGTGAAAGTAATTTGCTGTTTCTATGCCAAAGCCGGTTAAGAAAAGCAGTGAATGGTATCGCGGTCGTTTGTGCCAAAGCCAGAGAAGTTAACTTTAAGCCGAAAATTGATTGTCATATTGAATAAAGGATGATTATCCTTGTCACGATTCAGTGGAGTGCTGGATCACCACTGATGTGTAATGTGACCAACGTGTGGAGCAGCTAAATCCAATAATCACGATGAGCAAGATTAATCACGCGTGAATAGAGTGACCGTGGTAACTTAGGGATTGTTAAAATCCTTACGCTACATCGGTAGAAACTCACTGTGCGTTAAAAGAACAGTCTTTCAAAATGGTTTAGCAAGAGAATGAAGTCACAAAAATTGTACGTATGATAGCGGAGGAACTGAGCTCATCTTTTGTCTTGGATGAGCTCTTTACTGAAGACATCTGCACGTAATTATGTGTTAGGAGATGGGTAGTGCTACTCTAACCGATACATATTGCCCTTAATTGGACAATTTAGAGACTTGAGAATTTTACTACGCTTGTTACCATCGGATAACGAAGTGCGATACGTGTATGGCTCCTATTTCGTGGACTCAAACCAAGCGTTCCTCAAGTCAAATATAGCGCCACTCCTCGATTGCTTTTATTTCACACGACTGTATGGAATCATAGACATCTAGAGAATAAATTTTCCTACTCGGCAGTTAAAACTGATAACGACAAGTAGCAAATTGTGCATGTTGTTATCAAGCTAAATATAGCCGCTGTACCGGCGCAAATACCGAAATCAAGAAGGAATGAGCTATTACTTGGTCGTACATTTTTGAGTGTCCTTGACAAGTTGAAACAACCGCAAGCGATCTCTCGCTGCGATGAGGATCTAGAGTGGATGCTTTCTGAGTGGTTGAAAAAGCTAACTATACTGTTTAAGATTTCAGCAAGGACTATTTATCCAGGCACCATTTTAGCTATGCATGAACCTATTTAGATGTTTATTCGTCTATAGTCGTTCTTAGCATCCAATTAATTACTTGCGAAAAGTGCTCGAGTGTGTGCGCTATAACAAGCTGTTTGCTAGTATACACATCTGTGTCTTTGGCGCTGGTAGGGTCTTATTATGAATCACTTTACTGGGGAGCATATCCGGCAAACAAAATATGCGAACACAAAACCCATTTAGTGCCCCTTCATTTGGAGTTGGCTTGTCTTGGGCAACTTCTCGCACAAGAATTTTTCAAATAATGCTGACATGGCACAATCACTTACCATTCTTCAAAGATGACAAGACATGGTGCCAAGATGCGACAGAAAAAGCAGCCTCAAAGCTTCAAAACAAAGCCTTATTTGTGTTTCGATACTGGCTATATTGAATCCGAAATAGCGATGGTATTCGGTCTCCAAATCTTCAGCTTCGGACAGAGGATGAGCTATACTTTGAGACGATATGAGCGTGACGTTTTGGTCTCCGCAGCCTTGATCTGGAAGTGGAGAACAACCCACTCTACCACAAGGAGCTACTTGCTATGAAGTTTGCTTTTTGACAAACCAAACATACACATGCTTTTATCTAAGCTATTTGGGATTCGTTCCAATCATGATTCGTTGTGTACAGCAAGTTGTCAGCCATCTTCCACCAAGAATGGCGAGATAACAATCCTTTTTTGCCGAGTTATCCTTCGAAGTAAGTTTTAAGTCTGGTCGGCTTAATGTGGTGACGAATGCGCTTCGCGTCACCCTAGCAATCAATTGCCATATATCACATTGGTGATGTCGTGTAAAGCATATAGCATACGGTGCTGCCAAAAAAATTGAGAGTCTATGAATGACTGAGTTCAGATACCGCTTTGACGGACCACTCTATTTTCGTGTTTGCGCCTTTATTCCTCATCTCAACACTTGTTGTAAGGTAGCACTGACTTTCTCGACACTCAGCTTGCGGTTACATTTCAATATGATGCTCTCAGTACAGATTGATATACAATGCACATGATACCCTGATGGTAAAAAGAAAAGCTAGACAGCCTGGCGAGCTCTTTAAGGGTGGACCATCTGAGGTTTAATATGGTGAGGGGGGGTTTCTATTCTCGATTGACGAGTTTTACTACCTGATAGTAGCAACATACTGCAGCTGACACAAACCAGATCGTGAGCGATTTTTTTTCCTGCACGCAAAGTCTCCGGTTAGTTAGTTGGCTGCAAGCCCGTACTTCTCAATATTTTTTTAAATTTGTCAAGAGAGCAGAAACGCCGGGTCGAGCTTTGAGCTAAGCATACGGCACCGTTGGTGATGCAAGTTAATCTTTTTCGCATTCAGTGGCATGCCTTTTCGTAATTGGTTTTCTTTTTGCCCAGGATGATTTTATCTTAATTTCAGCATGTGTCTCTTTTTTTCCAATTTATTCATACTCTTTGTTTCTATCAGCTTTCATATTATTGATGGTACTTCCTTCAAAGGTCATATCACACAAACGGTCGATTAAACCATTGAACCTTGACACAAAAGACATTTTCTCTTAGAGCACATATTATAGGAGCTTCCCTCTTTGAATTTCAGGAAAAATGAGATCTAATCATTTCTATATTTTGCTTCGAAAAATAAAATATAAGCAAGGACCTTCCGAATCAGATAACGCCAGAAGAGCATCGAGGGTACGAGTTTGCCAGGTTTACGAGTACGGCGTCGAGTGGTTTAAGAATCGCTGAAACGCTGGAGGTATTTTGGTGGTTTAAATTTGCCTTAGGCAAGAGACCAATTAGTGGCACAGATCCTAGTCAAGAGCTGGTATGTCAATCTTCTCTTTAGACAATATATCTTTCAGCCTTAGTGATGGATTGGTGTTAATATTGGCTAATTCGTTCACATGGGTCGACTTTTGAATCCTTGAGACAGGAGTCCACAAAGTCAAAATGCTCACCCCGGGTCGATTTTACAATCAATGGCAAACGGGCCTACCGTTGCGATGTAGGTCAAATCAGCTAACTATGGTGAAGTGATTCTAAACCAAACACTGTCGTGTTTGGAGTGACAAATCTCTATGTCAAAGTGTCATTGCGGATTATCAGGGTACGAATAATCAAGCCGCAGCGAACTATGATAATTAGGCTTGACCGCCGTTGGGCTTGAGTTGAGCACTATATGAGGAATTTTTACAGAAGTTGGGTTGGTAATGCTTAAAGATTTCTTAGCCGCTT